GACTGAGCTTACACCTGTGGGTGGTGAGGTGGGAAGGGAGGGAGGGAGGCAGCCCGGGGTCCCCTCTGGGCCTGGCCCCACCCCACGTGACCGTCCCCCAGGTGCTGAAGATCATGCTCTACCTGTGTGGTCACGGCTCCTCCTCCTTCCTGCTCATCCTCAAGCGCAACCCCACCTTCATCCAGGAAGCTGCAGGTACCTGCGCGCAGCCCCAGGTGTCAGCCAGAGTCCCTTAGCCCAGGTTGAGCCCCCACCTCTCGGCCCTGCCCTCACCCTTGCTCCCACTCTGGGTCCTCACTGCTATGGGTGTGCGAGGGGGCCAAGGGGCTGCAGTGGCATGTTTCTGTAAAGCACGTGGGTGGTGGGTCCTGGAGGAGGGGACCTGGGGCTCCTGGTCCCTGGGTTTGTCCAAGAAGCAGAGGTGCTCTGGAAAGTGGGGCTACCCCAGGCTTGGGGGTGCAGAAGGGACTTTAACCTGGAAGAGATGTCATGTGGGATTCGAGGTCAGACCTGTGTTTCAGAAAGCTCAGCCTGGTGCAGGGGGTGCAGGGGGGAGGGAGGCTGACCATGGGGAAAGGGCTTCAACACTGCATCTCTGGAGGCCACAGTGCCCATCTCAGCCCTGCCCCTCCCTGCCCTGCAGTGTTCACGGGGCCCCCGGATCCTCTCCATGGGAACAGCTTGTACCAGAAAGTGCGGGCGGCCGCCCAGGTGAGCCCAGGACCCAGCTCACCCTGGGGTCCCCAGCTGCACTCCTGCTGTGGGACCAGAGCCCCTGTGTGTGGCCCTAGAGGTGGGGGGCAGGGACACAGTCGGATTGTGGCTATACTGAACGTACTCATCTCTTGTCTAGGACTTGGGGAGCACCTTGTTCTCAGATACCTTGTCTCCTCCCTCCCAGCCTCCCAGGGCCCTGCCTCCAGCAGGTACACAGCTTTATCCAGCCCCCAGCCCCTTCACAGGGTTCCCCTGGGGGTGGGGAGCCTCCTCTCCCTGGTGTCAGGGTGACGCAGTTCCTTCCGCAGGCATGGGCTCTCAGTCCAGGCCCCAGAACACTCTCCAGGGCTTCGGCTACAGCAAGGAGGGGGGCCACACAGGTGAGTGCTGCGTGGGCCCTTCTGTGCAGGGATGGGGGCCGGTGAGGGGTGGGGCCGGCTGTGATGAGTGACTCAGGGCAGGAACAGCTGCTGGTGACAAAAGGACATGGCTAGCCCAGTCTGCCAGGATGGCGGGTGAGGCCTGCAGCAGGGCCATGTGAGCCACGCATGGGCGCGGGGCCACATCCAGCAGTTGTGCTGACTGCGTGGTCTCAGCTCTCAGCCCCAACCCCCGGCCCTTCTGAAGCTCCGATTCCTAGAGTGGGTTTGCTTCCCAGTCCTGTCGTTACTTTGGAGATAGCATCACACTGAGGGTGTAATGCTATCTCCTCAGAGGGTGCTCAGACAGGAAAGCCCTTGTCCCCTGCACTGGCCAGAAGCTGTCCTTGAGTAGCCATGGAGGTTGAGTTCTCCGGACAAGCTCCGTAGGAGGCCGCTTGCTCTGTGGGGCCTGTGAATACACTAAAGGGGAATTCACGGGAAGCTTCTAGAAGGGCCCAAGTTTCCGCCACGTGGTCTCTGCTCTGTGACTCTAGCTTGTACCCCGAGCCCAGGGCAGGGAGCAGCCATGGCCCACATCCTGGGAGGACATCAGGGGACAAGACTGAGGGTGTGATGCTATCTCCTGTCTTCTGCTGCAGGCTCTATGGGCGAGACCTTTCTCTCCACCATCCAGAAGGCTGCAGAGGTGGCCAGTGCCTTGTGCCCTGGGTCCGAGAGCCCCAGCACCCAGGGGCCCCTGCTGCAGGGTGACACCTACCAGCCTGCTATGACGCCTTCAGCCAGCCACTGCCACCCCACTCCTGGGAACCCACTCCCTGGAGCCATCCAGGGTTCCCGAGGTACCAGGGAGACTCCTCTCTTGGTGTCTAGCTTTCCCCTCCCGTGGCTTCTTCCTTCTTACCAGCAAGAACCCAGGCTCCTGCTGCAGGCAGCAGNGAGCCATCCAGGGTTCCCGAGGTACCAGGGAGACTCCTCTCTTGGTGTCTAGCTTTCCCCTCCCGTGGCTTCTTCCTTCTTACCAGCAAGAACCCAGGTTCCTGCTGCAGGCAGCAGGAGCAGAGGAAGAGAGCAGCGAGCCCCACCTTGACACTCCAGTTACTCAATTGGCTATGTGGGAGCCCCGCAGAGCCAGCCATCGATGCCACGTGTGTTCCCAGTGGTCTCTGGTGGCTTCACCCAGACCGGTTCTGCCTCTTTGCCCAGCTTTGTCCCACTGTGTTCAGATTCTTTGCCAGCTGCTCTGAGTGAAATGGTCCTGGGCAGAGGGAGTTCGCTGAGGGTCCCAGCTCCTAAATGCACAGCCAGGATGTGAGCTGGGCCAGGAGCCCCAGCTGCAGCTTTCATTCACTCACCCGTTGCATTCAGGTGGCTCTGTGCCCTGACCGAGATCCTGGGCCAGGCCTGTCCAAGCCACTGTATCCACACTGAGGGCTTTGTGAGAGTCATCCCACCCTGCTGCCAGGCTCTTCAGCCTTGTGTTTCTGGAGCTGGAGCCCCAGTGGCCACCCTGTCCACATCTTGGGGCCCATCCCTCCTCCCTGGTTCCTCCTGGATCCAGCAGTCTTGGGGTCCCCTGGAGGTGGGTGTGAGGCCAGTCTGAGGCCCCCGGGTCTCACCCATGAACACCATTTTTTCTAGCAGTGAGACATCAGCCTGGGCAGGCCGGCGGGGGCTGGGAGGAGCAGGACAGCAGCCCCGGATCTCAGAGCTCTTCCCAGGAGAACAGCCAGAGCAAGGCCTCGGATGTGGGCAGTCGGTCAGGCAGTGACAGCCCCTCAGGAGCCAGCCGGGCACCCAGCGACCTGGCCGAGAGGTGAGCAAGCACCTTGGGGCTCCTCCACGCTCTGCCCCAGGATCGCATCCCAGTGGGGGTGGTTGGTATGATCTGGAAGGGCCTGGACCCTCTCCCTGACCCACCCTGTCCCTGACAGGGTTGAGGCCATGATCCTGAGCGACTGCCAGCAGGAGCTGAGCCTGGTCCAAATGGTGACACAGGGGCCACGCCCCTTCCTGAGCCAAGATGAGGCACAGTGCTTCGTCAAAGAGTGAGCTCCTGACCAACGCCCCCCTCACCCCATTTCCCCTCACCATGCCTCCTCCCCTCCCCCACTGAGGGAAAGGCCTGCCTGCCTGCCCTGCCCAAGTGCCCCCTTCCCGTAGGTGTGGGCTGCTCAACTGTGAGGCTGTGCTGGAGCTGCTGATCCGCCACCTGGGCGGGACCAGCGAGCATGTGCAGATGGTGAGTGCCGCATGAGCACGTGTGGGGCTGCCCAGGAGATCCTGGGGACTCGGGCCTTCTGGGTGGAGCTTGCTGACCNCCCCCCAATCTCATCCACCCTGCAGAGAGCCCTGGGTGCCATTGCCTCCCTGGGGTGCACAGACCTGCTCTCGCAGGAGCACATCCTGTTCCTCACCCGGCCACGCCTGCAGGAGCTCAGTGCTGGCAGCCCTGGACCCGTGACCAACAAGGCCACCAAGGTGGGCAGCGGTAGGGCCCAGAGGAGTGGTTACATGGGCACCCCATCCCACTGGCCTTTTTCAGATGTGCTCCTCTTGTCCCTGTCCTTTGGACAGATTGTGCACTAGAACAGTGGTAGGGTCCTTGCCTCATGCGTGCTTGGGGTATTCCAGGCTCACTGGCCTTTTTCTGGTTCTGGACCCTTCCCTACTCAGGGTCTGCCTTATTGCCCAGCAGCTCTGCCCTGCTGGTGGTGTCCTCTCTCACATGGTTCAGCTCATGTGCCACCTCCCACAGGGAGCCCTCCTTGACTACTTAGATGGGCTTATTCTGCTGTTCACTCCATGTCATAGTTTATGGGTCTGTGCTTGACCCCTAGATACGCAGCTCTTGGGGAGCAGGTACTGTTTCACCCATTTGAGTCCCCTTCCTGCTAACGCCTGAATTGTGTGGGGGATGCCTGGACCCTTTTACCAGGCACCTCTCCACGCAGCCGGGCCCCACACCTCCACTGCCTGTTGGCATCCCTCAGCTTCTTCTTGTTTTCTTTGTGGCCACTGGAAATTCAGATCTTAGTCAATGGTTCTTAAATAGTCCTTCATCACAGCATCAGTGAGACCACGACGCAGGAGACACACAGCATAGTGGGGCATCGTAGCGGTGGTTCTAACACCGATGGTTGAAGCACGTTGTTCCCCCTGGGTGCTGTCTCTGCCTGTGTGGGCCTCTCACGCCTCAGTTCGATGGCAGGGAGAACTATCCATGAGACAGCAGGAGGGGAGCAGGTCACAGGCATATGTTGGCACTTGGTGTGGCTGCTGTTTAAGCAGCTCAAGGCCAACAGCAGTCCCCCAGGTGGTGGGATGACAGTGAGGAGACTGCTGTGAGAGGGCCCATAGCCTGCTCTGCCCCCCAGCTGGCCCTGCTGTGGGCAGCGGCCTTAATGACCCTAGAGGGGAGGGTGGATCCTCCATGATTCCCCCAGAGCACAGGGACCCTCACCGACTTCCCTGTTCTCCCTCTGTCTAGATCCTAAGGCATTTTGAAGCCTCCTGCCGACAGTGTCCCCCTGCCCGGAGACCCCTTGCTGAGCCCAGCCCCGAAGCCATCCATGTGGGCCCATCTGACCTGCTGACTGACACTGTGCCCTTCGCCGGGGCCCCAGCCTTTCTCCAGCCTCTGAGTTCAACCCCGTTCTCACCCAAAGGTCCTACAGCCCCTCCGTCCCTGGATGGGTGCTCCCTTCCAGCTCTCAGGGACGCCAGGGAGGCTGACACCAGACTGACAGGTTCCAGAGAGCAGGAGGTCAGCTCTGAGCAGGGCCTATTGGGCACGGACACTCCGAACGGAGGACCAGAGCTCGGCCCAGGCCCGGGTGACTGCCTGTGGAGCCCGGTGGCCAGTGGCAGCCACAATTCCTTGTTTGCTGGCATGGAGCTGGTGGCCTGTCCCCACCTGGTGGAGGCCAGGACTGCTGTGGAGGAGCCCCTTCATCCCCCTTGGACATTGTCACAGAGGGTGGCAGCCAAAGGGCCTCCCAGCTCAGAGCCATCAGCTTTTGCGTTCTTAAACTCCTGACCCAGGACCCCATGACCACACCGTTCCCTCTGCCCTCAGCCCTGGATGTGTACATTGGCCTCTTCCTCACCCTGATGCCTCGGTGCAGGGAGCCACCTAGCTAGGTGGGCTTGGTGTGGATGAGCCATCCAGGAGTGAGAGTAGGAGCCCACCAACTGGGCAGAACTGCATGGTGGCCAGGGAACAGCTCACAGGGCTTGCAGACTGGGCGGGACGCACAGAGCCGTGCCGGTTTCTAGGCAGAATCGGGAGCTGAGCTCTGGTTATGATTGGCATCCGGTGGGCCCTGGGCTGCTGGGCCACCTGCCTCACAGCCATCTGGTCTGAGGACTTTAGCACACTGTCTGTGCATGTGGTCCCATCTGCAAACACTGTTGGGCCCTTTGGTGGGCAGAGGGTGCCCCTTGGCCTCCCAGGGGGGGCGGGACAGGAAAGGAGGCCTGGTGATAGA